CCTGTGTTCCCAGCTGCTAGAGATGCTGAGGTGAAGCCTGCTGTGAGCCAAGATTGTGCCACTGCACTTCAGCCTGGGTGTCAGAGTGAGACCCTGTCTCAAAAAAAAGAAAATAAAATTTAAGCAAATGGAGAAACACTGACATTATATTACTAAGTTAAGAAGGCAGGTTACTAAGCAATGTATCTCATTCCATTCTCACAACCTAATGATAATAGTGGTAGCTAACATTTTTTTTTTTAGCTCTTTCTATGTGCCAGAAACTATACCACATGCTTCTTACAGAATTTCCTTATTTAAATATTATAATCACCCTGAGAAGTTGATACTATTATTGACCCTATTTTGCAAGTGAAACTGAAGATTACAGTGGCTGAGAGCTAGGAAGTAGTGGCAGAGAGTAGGAGTTCAAATACAGGCTGTCTGATTTCAGAATTACCACTTTTTATTACATATACCAAATTTTTTCTCAATGAATAATGCTATTCTAAATGATTTTTATTTATGTTTTGTAATTTTCTGTGTATATTTTCTACAATGAGCATTAAATACTACTGTAATTTTTTAAAATGTAAATATCCATGCAGTGATTGGACGAACATTTGTTAGAGCTGTTGCTGAAGTTGGACTTAAATCTTTAAAAAAGTTTATAAACTTACTTGAAAAAATTTTTGTTGGTACATAGATATTAGTTGTATATATTTATGGAATACATGAGATGTTTTGATATAGACATGCGATTTGAAATAAGCATATTATGAAGAATGGAGGGTATGCATCCTCTCAAGCATTTATCTTTTAAGTTACAAACCTATTACATTCTTTAAGTTATTTTAAAATATACAATTAAATTGTTATTGACAGTAGTCACCCTATTGTGCTATCAAGTAGTCGGTCTTATTCATTCTTTCTGGGGTTTTTTGTACCCATTAACCATCCCCACCTCACCCCATTCCCCTGCTATACTTCCCAGCCGCCGATAACTGTCCTTCCACTCTCCATGTCCGTGAATTCATTTGATTTGATTTTTAGATCCCACAAATAAGTGAGAACATGCAGTTTGTCTTTCTGTGCCTGGGGTATTTCACTCAACACATAATGATCTCCAGTTCCCTCCATGCTGTTGCAAATGACCGGATCTTATTGTGTTTTATGGCTGAATAGTACTCCACATTTTCTTTATCCGTTCATCTCTTGATGAACACTTAGGTTGCTAACAAATCCTAGCTATTATAAACAGTGCTGCAGCAAATATAGGATTGCAGACATCTCGTCGATATACTGATTTCCTGTCTTTTGGGTATATACCCAGCAGTGGGATTGTTGGATCATATGGTAGCTCAATTTTTAGTTTTTTGAGGAACCTCCAAATTGTTCTCTATTGTGGTTGTGCTAATTTACATTCCCGCCACAGTGTACAAGGGTTCCCCTTTCTCCATATCCTCACCAGCATTTATTGTTGCCTGTCTTTTGCATATATGCCATTTTAACAGGGTTGAGATGGTATCTTATTATAGTTTTGATTTGCATTTTTTGATGATCAGTGATGTTGAGCACCTTTTCATATGCCTGTTTGCCTTTTGTATGTCTTCTTTTGAGAAATGTGTATTCAAATCTTTCGCCCATGTTTTGATTGCTTTGGTTGCCTGTGTTTGTGGGTATTGCTCAAGAGATCTTTGCCCGGACGAATATTTTCTCGTAGTTTCCCCAATGTTTTCTTGTAGTAGTTTTGTAGTTTGAGATGAAATTCAACTTAGATTTAGATTTAACTTAGATTTAGATTTAAACTTAAACTTAGATTTAAGTCTTTAATCCATTTGGATTTCATTTTGTATATGGAGACAGGGGTCTAGTTTCATTCTTTTACATACGGATATCCAGTTTTCCCAGAACCATTTATTGAAGGGACTGTCTTCCCCAGTGTGTGTTCTTGGCACCTTTGTCAAAAATGAGTTCACTGTAGGCATGTGGATTTGTTTCTGGGTTCTCTATTTTGTTCCATTAGCCTGTGTGTCTGTTTTATGCCAGTACCATGCTGTTTTGGTTACTATTGCTGGATTTAAATAATCTTAAAGATTTCCTTTAAAAGAAGTCTAGAAACAGATCCTAATGTCTATAATGTATTATAAAGGTGGCATTCAAATTGATAATTTAACAGCTATGTAATAGAACAACTGGCTAACCATTTGGAAAATAGATAATTAGGAATTTTTGTCAATATATTATGCCAGGATAGGTTCAGATGACTTAAAAATGAGCACAGGGACAGGATCAGATGGCTTAAGAATGAGCAAAGGATATAAGTGGTTTATAAAATGAGGAGATACAAATGGCCAGAAGTTTAACTTTATTAGTTATGTGTTCAGATTGGGAAAGATGAAAAGAATGTCAGCACTCTGGAGGGAAATGGACCTTCTCAAACTGCTAGTGGGAATGAAATTGTTACTACATGCTGGGAAGGAAATGGGGCAATGTATAGGAAAAATATTAAAATTGTGTACACTCTGTGACTTGGCAATTTTATTTGTTGGCATTTATCCTAAGTGGGTACATTTTCAAAAATATAGGTCAAGAATACTTACTGAAATACTATTTATATTAAGAAAAAAGTAGGGACATCCCAAGTATCCAATGATAAAAGTATGGTTAAGTTCCATACCATGGAATGCTGTGCAGCCTTTTAAAATTATGTAGGTGTATATTTATTGAAACTGAAATGGATTCCACAGAGAAGAGGGTTTGTTAGAATAAGGCCATATATACACATTGCTTAGCACAGTGCCTGGCATATAGTAAGTCCTCAAATCTTAGCTTAGAAAATGTAGGAAAAACAGATGATAACTGTGTATGTTTCAAAAATATCTTTCATGGAGTCATTATTCTCCACCCATCTGCCAGGAACCATTATTGCCTTCATTCTTGTGGGACTAAAGCCTTTCTCTGGGATTCAGATCAGATTTTCTGCAGTCTGACTACTCACCTTCCAAACTCATACTTTCTGTTTTCCAACACAAACTCCCTGCTCTAGCTAGTCTCCTTGCTGCCTTTTGCCTTTCCTTGCGTTTGTACCTTTGCGTGTACCACTCATCATCCTACCTGGAATACCCCTTCCCTTTCTCTGCCCCAGTCTAAATCTGTCCATTCTTTTTTTTTTCCCTTAAGACAGGGTCTTACTCTGTCACCCAGATTGGAGTGCAGTGGCATGATTATGGTTTACTGCAGCTTCAACCTCCTGGGCTCAGGTGATCCTCCCACCTTAGCCTCTGGGTAGCTGGGACTACAGACGTGTACCACCACACGCAGCTAATTTTTTCTTTTTTGAAGATGGTGTTTTGTCATGTTGCCCAGGTTGGTCTCAAACTCCTGGGCTCAAGGGATCGGCCTGCCTCAGCCTCCCAAAGTGCTGGGATTACAGGCATGAGTCACTGCGCCCAGCCTGCATCTATTCTTTTAAACCCTGTTTATGCCTTGTGAAATTTAACATTGCAGCTTCAGTAATTGTTCACCATCCCAGGGCTTCTTTGCCATATCATATCTTATTTCTTATTGTTAAGACATACAACATGTGAGAATTTAGCCAAATTATATGTTCTTTGAGGATGTAGATTGATTTTGATATTATACTTTATTCTTTCCCTCACATGGTTCCTTGAACATAATTTAATGCTCCTTGATGACTGCTGAATTAGAACATATCTTTTTTTGCAATAATCTATCAAGGTGAGATGTTTTAGTAACATAAAATTAACCATTTTAAAGCAAACAATTCAGTGGCATTCACCATGTGCAACCACCCCAAGTCGTTTTCTATACTCCAAAGTAAAATCCCTTACCTATTAAGCAGTTACTCCCTATTCCCTCCTTCCCATCTCCCCTGGCAATCACCAATCTGCATTCTGTCTCTATGGATTCACCTATTCTGGTCATTTCATATAGACGGAGTCATATGATAAGTGACCCTTTGTGTCTGGCTTCTTTCATTTAGCCTAATGTTTTGAAAGTTCTTCCACGTTGCAGTATGTGTCAATAGTTCATTTTTTTATGGTTGAATAGTATTCTACTCTATATACACCACAATTTGTTTATCCATTCATCGTTGATGGACACTTGGACGGTTTCTACCTTTTGGCTACTGTGATTAGGGCTACTGTGAACATGTATATGCAATACTTGCTTGAGTCCCTTTTCAATTTGGGGGATATATACCTAGGAGAAGAATTACTGCATTGTGGAAATTCTGATTCACTTTTCAAGGAATTGTTTTCCATAACCGGTGTATCATTTTACATTCCCATCAGGAATGAACAGTGGTTCCAATTTTTCTACATTCTTGCCACCACTTGTTATTTTCTGCCTTTTGGTTATAGCCATTCTAGTGTGTATGTGAAGAGGTACCTCACTGCGGTTTGATTTACATTTTCATAATTAGTAATTAGTAATGATGTTGAACAAATTTTCATGTGTTCAATGGCCTGTTTCAGGTCTTTTGCCTGTTTGTAAAATTGTGTTGTCTTAATTGGGTTGTAAGAGTTATTTATATATGTTGCATACTGGACTCATAATGTGTATCTTTTTTTTTACATTTTTATTTTACTTTAGGTTCTAGGGTACATGTACAGGTCATGCAGGGTTGTTGCATAGGTACATACATAACCAGGTGGTTTGCTGCCTCTATTCCCCCTTCATCTATATCTATATCATCTATCTATCTATCTATATATTTATATAGATAGATAGATAGATATAGAGATATAGATATTTTTTTTTTAAGTCAGAGTTCTGCTCTTCTTGCCCAGGCTAGAGTACAATGGCACGGTCTTGGCTCCTTGCAACTTCTGCCTCCCGGGTTCAAGCGATTCTCCTGCCTCAGCCTCCCAAGTAGCTGGAATTACAGGCACCCACCACCACGTGTGGCTAATGTTTGTACTTTAGTAGAGACGGGGTTTCGCTATGTTGGCCAGGCTGGTCTCAAACTCTTGACTTTGTGATCCACCTGCCTTGGCTTCCCAAAGTGCCAAGGTCTGAGATTACAGGCATAAGCCACCATGCCTGGCCTAGTGTGTATCTTTTAACATTAAGTCTCTCTGGTTTGGCTTTATTCTCCCTTTTGTGATTTTTAAAATTTATGGCAAATGCTGCCCCATAGATGTTCAACTGAAGGATCTTAACAACAATATTAGTTCCACATTTGTCCTGAGACAAGAATTGTACTGGTACTATTTCTGCCCTTTTGCCTTTAGATAAGTTACAACCTATTTAAACCTCACTTCACCATCCAGGAAGCTCACTGCCTTTGCTCATTTGAGAATGGTGGTGAGGACCATCACTAATGGATGTGCAAGATACTTGCAAACCGTAAAACATTACCCACTTATAAAGGTAGGATATAGGTTGCTACTTCTGTTTTTCATTTTTTAGAGACAGGGTCTCACTGTTTGAGACCCAGGCTGGTTGCTTCGCTGTTGCCCAGGCTGGTCTTGAATTCCTTGCCTTGAGCTACCTTCCCGAGTTGCTGGAATTACAGGTGTGAAGCACTGTGCCCAGCTGGTTGCCGCTTTTAGTGTTGTTCACACCTGTTCTTATTTTGATTTTGTGGATTTTTAAGATTCCAGTTCAAAGTTAAGCACCTAAGAGCATACGTTAAGGTGTAGAGAATAACAAAGAATGCTTGCCTTTCAGAGTCATCCTTTTTGAACTTCCATGACTCAGACTGCGAACCCAAGGGATCACCACCCTGTGACTCCTTGCTTTCCCTCAACACTGAAAAGATCCTGGTATGTGTCTTCTCTCTGTGTTCTGTTTTTGTGACCTGAAGCCCAGCAATACTAGTTCCAAAAAGTGGAGGTCGCCTCTGTTTGTCAACTAGAAGTTGGGCCTCATTGAGTTTACATGCATAGGATAAAGATAGGTTGTCTGGTACTTTGTCACACTGAATTATTATGACTTATGAATTGCATGGTTGATCATTCTGGACATAGATTTTTAATTTGCAAGTGCCAAGAAATAAAGGGGACATCATGGTTGAACCTTATTTCTAGCAGACTTGTGTATTTGGAGGTATAGTAGACTCTTTTTTATTTTTCCAACCTTTGCATATGTGGGTATCTTTTATATCTATGTTTTCTATCAGTACCCACTAAACTATACAGTGGGCCTCTCCATTTCAGGGGTGAATACTGGCGCTAATGTTTGTGTCTGCCTATCCATGTTAGTGCATCTCCTCCTCCAGCCTGGCTCTCTCAAGGGGGATGGGTCTTCTTTTTGTTCACACTTAACTCTATGAAGCTCAATTGTTATTTCCATGTCCAAGTTTAATATATTTTTTCTCCAGGCCTTTTACTACAACTCTACATAGACACTCTTTACATCTTTGGTGTAAAATTTCCTTTTAAGATACTCTTTTTTTTTTTTTTTTCAAACAAAGCCTTGCCTTTTCTTGTCAGAACTACTGAAAATGGATTGAAACTGCAAACTAGAGACTGATTGGCTGCTTTTACCTAACTCACTGCATAGCAATCAACTTCATATATGGAAAACTCTTGAACTAGACTTGCCAAAAGCCCGAAAGGGCTGTCTTGTAAAGCCGTGAGTTGGTCATCTCTGAAAGTGTTTAAGTAGAAGGTGGATAATGCCATCTTGTATAGGCAGTTAGTTTCTTAGAGTTATGAAAGTCTTCTTACTGAGAGTAGTTAAAATATTTTCTACCAGTTGCATTTCCAGTTTAAGATAGCACTAGCTAGGGACCTATGGGAGAAAGCTCATTAGTCTTGGCTTTTCATTTTCCTGAGGTTGAAATATGGGACTTAGACTATTCACTTATTAATTGATTATCCAGATATTTATTTTGCACCTATTATGTGCTAGGCATTTTGCTAGGTGAGTATTAGGAATAGAGCAGTAAGCAAGATAGTGTTGGTCTCTGCACCATGACTTCTAAAGTCACCAACCAAATAATTATGCAATTAAACATAAAAGTGTGATTGTACACATAGTATGAAGGAATAGCAAGAGTCAACATAATCTCCCTTTAATTAGCGGTATCAGGCAATACAGCTTTTAAGAACTAAAATGTAAGCAGGGATGAGAAAATTGGATTGAAATTACTCTACTAGTGATGTTGAGCTGTATGTTCAAACTTAGATAGTATTAGAAATGGGAGAGATTCTTTTTCATCAAGAATTTATTTGTTCGTACTATACTTCCCCTGCCCTCTTTCTAATGAATACAAACAAGTTAAAATCAAATACATTCTTCAGTGTACTCTTGGGGTTGCATAGTAATGATTTCTTCTCTTTGTGGAATTTTATTTCTATCCCCTTCCCCATATCTTTTTGCAGAAAGGCTTGGCAAATGGTAGACTCTCCTCAAATATTAAATAAAGCAATATTTGTAGACTCTTTTTCTTGGCTCCAAGCAATTTACTTGTTTTTTCCCCAGCTTCACTGAGGTGTAATTGACAAATTATATATTTACAGTGTATGGTGTGATGATTTTATATACATATACATTGTGAAATGATTGCCACAGTTAAACTATCTAAGCAATTTATTATTTGTTTATTCATTTTTGAGACAGGGTCTCACTCTTTTGCCCAGGCTGGGGATATAGTGGTACAGTCAGGGCTCCCTGCAGCCTCGACCTCCTGGGCTCAAGCCATCCTCCTGCCTCAGTTCCCCCGAGTAGCTGGGGCTATTGGTGTGCACCACCATGCTGAGCTAATTTTTTTTGAACTTTAGTAGAGACAAGGTCTCACTGTGTTGAGCAGGCTGATCTCAAAACTCCGAAGTTCAAGCAGTCTTCCTGCTTTGGCCTCCCAAAGTGCTGGGATTATAGCCATGAGCCACCATGCCCCGCCTATCTAAGCAATTTATTAAAGGAGAAAAATCTTTTGCATCTGTGAACTTGTCTGTAAACATTCAATAAAGAGGAAGGACTCATGTTCTAGTCACACCCAGCTATATACCATCAGTAACACCCTTACATATTGTTAAATCTGCCACGTCTTGAAGCTTTACCAGGTTCCCATATGTGGAAGGTCTCAACTGCATAGCAAAACTAGAAAGGGCTAATAAGAGTTCCTCTCTCATCATCAAGATTCTACTGAAAGACAAAGTATAAAACATTCCCACAATAGTGGGATTTTCTTGTTTCCATTTAAATCAAATGTAGCCTTAATTTTTTAAAATACAGCTTTTAATACAAGTTTTTCTTTATTTGTGATAAGCTAAAATATATATGTTTTTCCCCCCTCAGAGCCAGGCCAAGTCTATTGCAGAACAAAAGAGATTCCCGTTTGCCACTGATAATGACAGCACAAATGAAGAGTTAGGTAAGACTCGAATCTGGGAATATTTCTGTAATATTTGCCTCCATTTTTTGGTGAGATGCTTAACAGGAAGGCAGGATGGTTAGGTATAAAGAACACAGAGACTGGCTCTGCCAATTTGAGCTGCTTGATCTTGCATAGAACATTCAGCCTTGTGAAGTTCCATTTATTATATGTCCAAAAAAAAAAAAAAAAAAGGTTTGGATGGAATAATCTGTTCCAGCTCTCCATTTCTATTGAAATTAATAATTATGGTAATGAGCTCTTATGAGCTGTTCCTATTCAGTAATAGGCTATTTGTGTGCTGTCATCAGATGAGCAATGAAGTGAGCAATGAAGAAGTGGAAGCAGAATAGAATCTCAAACTACCTACTTTTCTATGTAGTGAAATAGCTATGTTTAAGCTATTTTACTCATAATGCTAGTCAGTTATTTTTGGGTCTAAGAATGTGAGTGTAGAAAAATTGAATTCATTCATATCAGCATGAGTCACATAGTTTGGTATGTTCATTGCATGTTTTAAAACAGGCTGGTTTTATCAGTGTCAGATGTGCACTGGGTGTATTTCCCTTACTGTCTAGTGAGCTTACATGTGAAGAAGTGGAGATAAATTGAATACAGGGCTGAGCAGTGCAACCAGACAGACTATTGAAGCACATTCTCACATGTCACCCAAAGTACCTCACATGTCACCTATCTAATTTATGCATAATTATTTTATCCTTACCATGGCCATACATGTTTGATATTAAGACTAAGTGCTCTTTATAGTGGCTTCTTTCCTGTTAGTGTGGAGTCTTGCTCTGTGGCCCAGGCTGGAGTGCAGTGATGCAATTATAGCTCACTGCAGCCTTGAGCTGGGTTGGAATATCTTCTCACCTCAGACTCCTAAGTAGGTGGATTATAGGTACATGCCACTATGCCTGGCTAATTTTTTAAAATTTTTTATAGAGACCAGGACTCACCATATTGCCCAGCTGGTATCAAACTCTTGGGCTTCAGGGATCCTCCCACCTTGGCCTCCCAGAGTGCTGACTATTTTGGAAATGCGAATCACTTTATGGTGATTTTCTTTGAGGAGGCTTTGAGGATTGTCCTTCAAGGCATCAGATCTGGTCTTTTCTGAAGTCCTTGGATTCCACTTAGAGTAGTGTTTATTTATTAAAACAATGAATTCAGGGCTTGATATGTACTAGGTCTGTTCTGTTCTCCAAGAATAATTCTAGTAGACCCTGGGGTAGCATAGGCCCTGAGCTAGCCTGTGATCTTTTGTACCCGGTATTTTTTCTTGAAAAAATGATATCTGTGAACATATACATTGCTCGGAGATGTGGGATTGCTGGTAAGTAGAGATTTCTGAGAAAGTCCAGTTATAGCACCTTTTCCTTTATGTCTTTAGACTCCTATAGCAAAATTTAGATCCTAATTGTTATTTGTATTTGTACAAGATTTGTATTATGATTATTCTTTTATTAATACATATTTCTGGGTTTTGTTCACAAAATGTTGAGTTTTAGGTGGAGATATTTGAAAACTGCATTTGATTTTGAGTGGAATTCAATTGCTTAGATGTGGATAGCCATCTAAATATGTTCTAAACTACAAAATTTATTCCTGAAAATCATACTTGTTTTTATGGCTGGCTCATTGATTGATTTGTTCATTCAATAGATATTACTCATTATGGGATGATAGATAGGAAATAAAAATTTAGATTTGAAAGGAATCTTTAAGAAAATCTTCTACAGGCTTATTAAGCAAGACCAAGACAGTTATGAGAAGTGAATGAGGTCCCCGTGGTCATGTGGCTGGTGAGTGGCAGAGCCAGAATCCAAGCCCAGATCTCGGTTTTCTGATCTATCGTCATCTTCTTGTATTCAAAAAAGTACAAGTGTATGTTTTTATCCATGTTCATCTGACCATTAAGGAATTTCAACCACTTGGCCATCCCTCCAGCGCACAGTGGTTTGGGAGCAGCCTTGATTTGTTTCAGCGTACGGCGCGGGCTGAGAGGTTAGGCTCCGGAGCCAAGCAGCTTGCTGCTTTCCTCTGGCTCACTGCCTGTGGTCCTTGGACAGCTTGTTTAACTACTTTATGGGTTAATAATTGTACCTTCCTCATTGCAGTGGAGAAGCAAATGAGTTAATACTGGTAAAGGATATTACTATGCCTGGCACATACTGTATTAAGAATACAATGCCTGTAGCTACTATGATTCTTGCTACTGTTTTTACTACTATTACTGCCCGTCCTTCCACCCCCAAAACTGAAGGCATCCTCTGGTTACCTGGAGGTTAGCTATCTGAATGGTATCCATTGTCAGCATTCTGAACATGAATTTTGGCTTAACTGATCTTTTCAAAAAAAGTAGGGCAAAAGGGCTCTCTTTTTATTTTGAAGAATGCCCCCAGAAGTGCTTGTATTATTGTGGTGCTCAATTTGAACTTCATTTTTACTCTATTGATTTATGAATATATTTTCAACTCTTTCTACATTTCATTTCTGTTTCTGCTTTGTTTAATGTTTTTACTATTTTTAACTGTCAGGAAATAGAAGCTTTAATGACAGTGAAAGTTTTCATTGCCCATCTTCTTGAACACCTATTAGGTCCTAAAAGGTAAAATTTTACAGGAAAGCTTTTTTTGCAAAGAAATGTCATCAAAATAGTTATATTGATTGAGGAATTAAATGTTTTTCAGGGATTTTTTTGGAGGGGGGCTAAGGGTTAAGCAGTCAGGGCAAATATTGTAGATGCTAATATAATCTAGAAGATTCAAATATTGTTTTTTGGATGGGTGGCAGAATTTAGTCAGAATATTGCTGTGTTTTCAGAGATTGTCCTGGCTCTGTTTTCTAAATACCACTTTCCTAAACAATGTGATAAAAGATGATTCTTTAGTATATATTTTGAGTAGCATATGACTATATTTTGAAGGGAAGAAAGACTGTCATTGCATTATAATGGTGTGCATTATCCACAGTTAAGCATTATGTTACCAAATTTGAGTCCCTGTTTTTGTTCTTATTAGATAATTGGCAAAAAATTCAGCACTCTCAGGAATTGATATTTGTGATGCTATTTGGGTATTTCTCATAACATTCACAGTAAAAATCACATTGCCATGTTAGATGGACATTATTTAGATTTATTACTAGCTTTTTTGATAGCTAGGAGACATCACAAAGGTTATTTGGGATTTGAAAATGAATGATGGGCTTAGAAAAAGATAAGTATCTCCTGTAGGCAGATATTTCATAGATGACTTTAACAATTTAAATCTAGATGGATTTGGAAGGCTGATTAGCAAGTGCGGAGTGATGAAAGTAGAAGAATTCAATGGCACCTTATTAACTTCTAGGCTTTCTTTAACTGCTTTCAGTGCTTGGAGCTGCCTTTGGAGATTTACCGAAGAATTTAGTTATTGATTCTAGTTTGAGTTACTTTATTTTTTTCCTTTAATATTTTTGTATTTTGTTTTATAGCTATTGCTTATGTCTTGATTGGCAGTGGTCTCTATGATGAAGCAATACGGCATTTTTCAACAATGCTTCAGGTAATTTTTCTTCTTATTTATATAATTTCAAGTTTAAAGTTATGATAAAAATATGGACTAATGCATAGCTGAAGTGCTGTAATGAAACATGTTTTTAAATTATACAAGAAAACAAAAGAAATTGGTATGACTGAGCACTTTCCTGGTGCCAGGCCTCGTGACATGCTTTCATTTAATCTTTTAAATGAAAGATTTTAAATAAAACCTCATTTTAAATGAGAAAAAGGGAATCTAATCAGCTCAAGCAGTTTGCTCATAGTCTCCTGACCATCAAGTTGCAGAGATGGGATTCAAATGCAAGCTTTAAAAACACATTAGCTTCAGTTTACTTTCCTCTCTACCACAGTATCTCCCACGAGATATAGACACTGGAAATTCTTGAAATTCCAACTTATTTTCACACAGGAGTTGATCTTCATGATTAACTTAATTTCTACTCATAGGTATGTTTTTCACCTTAAGTATAATTATGAGACTCCTTAATGAAGTATTGGGTCTTTACTGATTGGTGGCTGCGCTAAAGTCTGGTTAAGATAAAGCATGCAAGCACTGCATGTGTAAGAGTTGCTGCCCAGCAGCATCGGCCGTATATCTTGTATCATTATTTAACTGTATGCACTGTTGGTGCCTAACCATTTAGTGATTGTTGATGTGTCTTTCCAGTAAAGTACAGTGAAGAAGATAATGGATTTTACAGCTAGAGATGCCTTAATTCCAATCCACTCTGCTTCTTGCTACAAAGTTGTTTAACCTCCTGAGTTATGGAGATAATAGTAACTACTGCCAAAAAAATTCTTTTTTGGTTTAAATGAAATATCCTATTAAAGTAATTACTACCCAGTGCCTGGCACATAGTAAGTGCTTAGTAAATTTTGGCTAGTCAGAGTACCATTCTTGTGTATATTCATCTGTGCTAATCATAGCAAGTGCCAACAAACGCCTTACAATCTAGCAGGCAGACTTAATTTAAATGATTAATTTTGTTTTGTTTTGTTTTGTTTTTTTTTTTGGGACGGAGTTTCGCTCTTGTTACCCAGGCTGGAGTGCAATGGCGCGATCTCGGCTCACCGCAACCTCCGCCTCCTGGGTTCAGGCAATTCTCCTGCCTCAGCCTCCTGAGTAGCTGGGATTACAGGCACGTGCCACCATGCCCAGCTCATTTTTTGTATTTTTAGTAGAGATGGGGTTTCACCATGTTGACCAGGATGGTCTCGATCTCTTGACCTCGTGATCCACCCTCCTCGGCCTCCCAAAGTGCTGGGATTACAGGCTTGAGCCACCGCGCCCGGCCATTAAATGATTAATTTTGAAATTTTAGTTTGCTTTTGTTTTCTCTTTAAAAATAAGGTTAATTACATTGATAATATCTTGATTCTCAAACAATTGATGAGATATTTTTTGTTATTACTTTGAGGTCTTTGGATCCAAGCAGCACTATATTTGGGTGGTCATGTGGAATACTATTCTTCAGTGGAATTTAAAGTACAAAGGGTAGACTATAAATAGTTTTAAAAATTACCTTTCTGTTAAGGGTTGGGAATGTTATAAAAGGTAAGCAAGCACTTTTACGCAGTTAACACTTGACCCTGGTTTGAAAGGGACATTTTGATACATTTATAGGAGCAAATATCAGTTAATTTAAGGCAACCAGGGTGGAGCATAGAATCCAGCAGAAATAGAAGGAGTTTGCAGATGTATTGTCATTTTATTCAACTTTTTGAAAATATTATTACCATTGTGGTTGAAGACAATATAACACTGTTAAAATATTTTCAATAATAAAAAATTTTCCAATTCTGCCACTTTAACATTGTTTAAATTTTTTATTCATACCTTTTCAAAGTATGCATTTATTTTATAATCTGATATGTGTACTGTTTTATATTACTTTTTCACTTAATTCTATACTGTAAATGTTTTTCAGTATTTTTCTAGTCTTGTGATTTTAATGGCTCTATGATATGCCATTGTTTTGTCTGTTTATAGTTGTAGATATTTCTCTTGCAATTGTGTTCAGAAAGTATATTAGCATTTTTCTTTTTGTGCAAAGAAGATAATAATGTTTTGAAATGTCATATTGCATTTTCATCGATCTGTGATACAGTGAGTTACTTTCAGCTGGGAAATCTCTCTTTGAGAATGTGTGGATTATGTTAGACTGTTTTGCTGGCAGTTCAGACTATTGATGGGGCAGGGATGAAGGCAGTGGAAAGTTCAAACGCAGATGAACTAACTGGGTGGTCATTTATAACATATTTTTCTATAGCAGCAAAAATGCCCTTGACTTTCCTGCTGGTGCTTTCCTCGGTGATTTCTCTCTCTTTACCCTTTAACTTGATGCTTTCCCGCTTTTTCCACATCATGGCACATGTGGAAATAATATTTGCATGGCACGTGGGTAAGCAAGAATAGCTTTGGAGCCATCCAGATAAAGCTGTGTGAAAATCTGTTTGATTTTCCTTGTATTATATGACTGATAAGAAATAGAAAATCCAAAGATTTTACACTCCAGCCAGAGAGCCAGAACCTGTATCTGAAAAAAAAGGAAGAAAATATGAAGATTTGATGTTAAATGCTAAAATTACTTTCAAAAATTTTAATAAGAAACTTGACCCTACTTTTCTGGACAAAACTTTTCTGTATTAGAGTTTATGTTTGAAATTGATGCACACATTCTCTGTCTGACTTTTCTGTTGATTTTATCAAACTCTTGATAGCCAGTGTCATCAAGACACTGTAAAAGTAGGTGGGAACAAATGTCCAAAGAATAGTTATTGCTTTTTCTCCAATTGATTAAAATTCCTTTTTTCATCATAAATCATAATTTGCATAAATCATTCTCTTTATATATTACATGTATGATTATTCTCTAAATCATTGCTCTTTTCTTTTTTGTTTTGTTTGTTTTTTCTTCTGTTGGCAAGTGTAGTGATAATATTTCTTGCAGTAATGAATTACATTTTTATCTCAATAATACTTTTTCATATCCAGTATTTCAGAATAGTGATGAAGCTTTTCTTCTAGCATACATAGATGTTGCTCTACTGTTTTTCATTCTTCAGCTTATATCGAACTAAATATCACTTGAGAAGCATTTTTCTTTGTATATGCTAATATATTTTTACCTGTTCCTTGCAGGGCCTTCCAGATACGTGAAATTGCAGTGTTTTTAAACCAGTAAATGTCCTTTAACAAATCTTTAAAGTGGTAGCTATTCATGCACAGATTTTTTAGTTTTCTTGAGTTCATTAACTCTTGGCAAATTTTTTTTTTAAAGACAGCTCGTGAGCTCCAGTATGAAGCAACGGAGCATGGAATCTGATTCCGTTCATAGAAGCAAACAACAAATGGGGACTTGGGGGCTTGGATTTTATTAGAATCACTATTTTGATAAGATCATTTAATATGAATTTCAGATCTACATATAATGGATCCTTTAACTCCAGAATGACTTTTTGATGTAAAACTCTTACACCTTTCCTGTTGTCTTGGTTTCACCATCAGATTACATACCTGGGAAATAGTTCCATAATCCTTGGTGTTTCAAAGTGTTTATTGGAATGTTTATTCCCAGTGGTTTGATTTTCCTTTATGGAAGTATCAAGGTTTCTAACTGAGCACAATGACAGGATTTAATAGATGTCAGTCTGCATTAGAAACTCTTGATTTTTAAAGTTTATGAGTTAGTGTTGTCTCTTTGCCAGTGCCCTGAAGTCACTTCCACGTGTGTCAGTGCATCCATAATAGTGTTCTTGGATTGAAAAGTAGAACTTTTCCTAATTTCTGTGCTTTTTTGGTCCCCATGCAGGGCTGGGTATAACATAAATGCTTCAGCAATTTTATGAGGCAATTTGGCCTTTGCTGTTCATTATGTGACCTTGAGCTCATCGGATTTTGATCTGATTCCAGTGGAGCTAAATTTGTAAAAGAACATTATTTCCTATTTAACACTAGCACACAAAATTGAAAACATTCCTCTGCATAGAATTTTTAATAACATCCTTTATGCAAATATGTGTGTCTGTCACTCAGGTAAAATCTAATCCTCATTACATTGCTTATGTACTGACTGTTTTGACTTGTTTGTTTTTAGATCCAGTGAGTTTCCAGTTTTAATTAAAAAAGCCAGCCTTGTAGTGGTAAATACAGTAAATACTGTAAAATTTAAAATCACTGTATAACTAATAAAATGAGGATGATATATTAGACCTTTTTTTTTTGAGAATTGAGACATCTAAGTAAACACAACACCATCTAGGCAACTGTCTTATTATACCATGATTTTGCAGTGGCATAGAGTAAAATTGGAAGATTGAAGTAATCATTTTCATTTCACTCTTTTTAAGAGTATAGAAACTTCTTAAAGAAACTTTAAAAAAAGTTTCTGAAAACTTTATAAAGTATAAATACTATAAAAATATTTTGAAAAATTGCTCTTCAGAGCCCAATTTGTTTTTAGGAATAAACATTGATTTTTATTTGGGGGAAAAAACCCAATAATTTATTATGGCATTCCATAAAGATAAGTTTTTGGATTTTTAGCTAATGATAGATAAACTAATAATTAAATAAAGTTGCATCAACTTTTAAAAGTAATAAAATCTGTTATTTAAATTTAGGAATGCTTAATACTAGACTGTAGATATAACAGCCACAATAATTACATGTCCTTCCTGACTGCTAGGAAAACATTCTGAAAAGAAAGAAAAATTGGATAGAGAAAACCTAAATACATTACAGATGAGCATAGTAACCAAGTCAGTGCTGTAGTAATGATGAGACCATGGGGTGACTTGGAGGGAGGCCTGTGCAAGGGGCTCTGTGTGAGGCATACATCCAGTCCTACAGTCCAGATCATGATGGCTACCTTTAGGAAGTTGTCAGTGTTCAGATATTTCAGCTGTTGCAAACTTTTGAATGGCTGGGTTGTTTTTTAAACTTAAAGTTTTTATTGCTACCAAAATGTTCCAGCCGCAAGAGCTGGAGGCCCACCATACGTCATTCACCGTGGCACATCTGTCATAGAGCTTTGCCTTCCTGTTACCCTGGATCGGGCTCTTGTTTCCCATGGACTGTACCCTACTACTATTAGCCATGTTGTCCTGCTTGCTTCCCCTTTGGGAAGAACATGGTTAGCAGGGCTGACTTCGATCTGATAGATGAATCTCTTGTCTTCTGTGTTTATTTTTGCTTGCTATTCGTAGTCCATGGCAGGAATAGCATGGCTTTGTATGGTATTCCTAGCATGTGGAACCTGATATAGCTAACAGTAGGCCCTGAGTAAATAATTGTGGAATGAACAGCCAACATCCATACAACATACAGTGGGAATAAAGGAGAAGGAACGTATTTAAAATTGCTGGTAAACCCAGCACTTTGGAAGGTTGAAGCAGGAGGATCACTTGAGCCCAGGAGTTTGAGACCAGCCTGGGCAACAAAGTGAGACCCCCATCTCTACAAAAAGAAAATTTAAATTGGCCTGATGTGATGGTGCACTCCTATAGCCCAGCTACCTGAAAGGCTGAGGTGGAAGCATTGCTTGAGCCCAGGAGTTTAAGGCTGTAGTGAGCTAGGCTTGCACCACTGCACTCTAGCCTGTGTGACAGAGTGAGACCCTGTCTTTACGAAAAGAAAAAAAAAAGAGGAAGGAGATGAGGCTGAACAATAAGGCAGGAAAATGACTAATGTTTTCTGCAAAACCATTTAGATGTTACCTTTTTTTTTTTTTTTTTTTTTTTTTTTTGGGTTGCTACCCTTTAATGGGTCCTGAAATTAATTGGCAAGTCAAGATTAGCACTATTTTTTTAAAAGTGAAATATAACCCCAAAACCTAAAACACCATAAAATATATATATAAAAAAGTGAAATATATTAGACTAGAAAATATCAGATTCTACTGTGTATAGTAAGTCCTAGGTATAAGCTAGTGAAACTGTTTTGATACGTGTGTTTGTACATACTGGGTTGTAATGTAAAAAGTATTTCAGTGGTTTGGAGTTAAAAAAATTTGAATGTCACTGTATTAGGTGTTGGGGAGTCACTGAATAATTTCAGTTAGGGAAGTGATGTGATGAGACTTTAGTGTTAGAAAGATAACTCTTGGTGTGTGTCTGTGGAGAATCCCAGGTAAGGTGATCACAGTATCCTAGATGAGAGAGGAAGGCTTAGAACAGGGCAGTGGCTGATAGAGTGGGCGGGAGGACCCCGATCTGTTCAGAAGATGAGAGGGCCAGGATTTGATGAGGAGTGTGTGAGCTGGAGGGCAGGAAGATGTCAGAGCACCAGCCCCGGCCACGGGTGTGCAGGGATGCCATTCATGTTAGTAGAATAACTGTTTACTGACACCTTTTTCTGATTCACTTCTTGGTCATCTAGAGTAAACTTTTTTCTCAGTTAGGAGAAAAGGGGTTTGGATAATATATTTTGAACTGTAATAAATCTGAGCATAGGTTTGGTTCTTCTGCAGACATATGTTATCCTAAGGCAAGCTTGTCTAACCCACAGGCTCCATGCAGCCCAGGATGGCTTTGGTTGTGGCCCAACACAGATTTGTAAACTTTGTTAAAATATTATGAGATTTATTATTTTTTTAGTTCATTAGCTATCATTAGCATTAAGGTATTTTATATATGGCCCAAGACAATTCTTCTTCCAATGTGGTCCAGTGAAGCCAAGAGATTGGACACCCCTGCTCTAGAGGATGAGCTTGCTGGGCTCACCGCCTTCCACCCCAGCCTGGCCAGGGTTCTGTTCAACTGTTGACTGTTCTGTCTTCTGGCTTTTTTTTGCCATGGAAAAACATGAAGCCAGTCTTACTTTTAATTCCTCAGGAGGTTCCCTTTTTTCCTGCTTCCCTTTTCCCCCTTATACCTGTATTCTTTTTTCATCCAAACCACTTGCTCTGCCTTCCTTTAAGCTGGGAAGAATACTTAAATGTTTAAAAGTGCTTGTCTCTGGGGGGAGGATTATAGGGCACCCTTTACTTTCTGCTCGTTGCTTTTCTTCATTTTCTAAATTTTTGCAGTGAAACGTGTATTATTTAAACATTTTTTTCCGATTATAAATGAACATGTCTGTTTTAAACAATTAACAGAAATATAACAATGTATTAAGTATAATGGGACTATATCTAGTAATCTCACTCCCCAGAGGAAATTCCTGGTAGCATTTTGGAGAGTTTCTTTCTGTGCACATAATGGTTCACACAATCACATATGATTTATGAAATGTAACTGCCATTCTTCTGTAGATCTATAATGTGTACTTTTTTCCCCTCTCAGCAAATAGCATGAGCACCTCTATGCCAGTTATATATAAGTTATAAATCATAAATCCAGAAATTTGTAGGGGCCAGGGAGGTAACGTGAGCAATGAGAGTTGGTGCAGTGTGGTAGTGATGGGTAGGCCCTGTGGTGAACTGATGAGCATGTACCTCTCATCAAGAGAAAGCTAGTGCTTAGCTCTGGTCACTTATTTATTGCTGTGTGAGAATGCCAACATGTGGGCCTGTATTTGTTGGATCTTTTGATGTTCTAAGAGAAGCTAGAAACCTCAAATTGTTTAGTTGAATTTTTGCAATTTTTCATATACCATGTAGTCCAATCTGCTGTCCGGGTTGTGGCCAGTGATGTGCCAGTTTACCACTGAGTATAGATGCATCTCATTCCATTTGAGTAGCCTTTAAGAAAATTTAAATACATGTTATCTTCTTTATTTTTTGCCATTTACTCATCATTGAAGTAGTTGCGTTCATTTTCTACAATACTGGCAGATACCCTAGCTCAGAATTGAAACTGAACAATGTCTGGCAGATACCCTAGCTCAGAATTGTAACTTTATCAGGTTTTTGCAGAGACTTTTTCCGGAGAATCTAGTGCCGTTCTGTTAAATACCTTAGCAGTGCAAGACTTCCACCCAGGACCTTATAGCCAGAGGCAGCTGTTTCTTCTTTTTTAACCATATAGTGAACCATTCAAAGAAGTAAAAATTGTAGAGGCTAAATGTAGATGAGAGTCATTTCATTCACTTACCAACTAACCTGGGTGTAAGGACTCAATGGCCAGGGTCAACAGATGTTTTGTCGTTGGTCCCAATAGGTGTTTCCTCCACCCCATTTGGATTGCAGGATAGCAGAAGAGAGCATGAGAACAGGTTGCAAAAAGGGTCAGGTTTTTATTTTAACCCATTAGTATGTAGGGTTGTATTCATCTCCAACAGATTTCAGTGCAGACTCATTTCTAGTCCATTGTGTTGGCACTGAGTGGTTCTTTCCTTTTCAGGTTATTTCATGGATATGTGAGAGGAAACACACACGTTAAAGGCATTACCCAGTCCTTTGCTCACATCTCTTTACCCCTCTGAGCCTCTGTCTTCTCCTCTGTAAGACATGATTGCTGATGCTGCCAGAGTTGTTGAGAGGATTGCATTTTAAATAAGATGACTCTTTGAAAGAAACTAGCATGTTGCTCAGTAATATTGGTTCCCTTCTCCTCTCTTTATTATTTTTTTCAACATGAAACTTTTATCACATTTCATTCAAATTAGCTTTAAGAACATAGACGTTTCAGGTTGGAGACTGCGTATTGACTTATGAGTGGTTGTAGCATAAAGAAGTAGAGCTGTCACTTGTGGCATTAATGTGCTTTAAGCAGAAACTGATTTTTTGTTTTGTTTTGTTTTGTTTATGGTTTTTGACGTGTTTCTGTTTTGGTCTGACTAGGAGGAGCCTGATCTGGTTAGTGCAATTTATGGCCGAGGGATAGCCTATGGAAAGAAGGGACTACATGTGAGTATGTAATAGTTATGATTACCATAGCGCCTACATGACCTGACACAGACCAGGGTTTTGCTAGCACTGCTACTGTTCATTGACCCTTGATGGGACATGGAGTGGTATCTATGGTTCCAGTTCACAGATGAGAAAATGGCAGCTAGTAAGTGGTGGACTGGGGATTTCCACCCAGATCTGGGGTCAACTTTGATGAACTGGATGTAGACTAAGAAAAGCATGAGACCCTGATTGTATTCCTAAGAGACATTTAATGGTCGAAGTGTAGACTGGGTATCAATAGTGCAGTAGGACTTAGAATTTGAGTTCCTTTCACAATTATTGAAGCTTGACGAAAGAACAAAAGGTTTCTTTAGGCGTGTAACATTTATTTTTATTTGTTATATTTTATACTTTTTGCAGATAGGTGTAATATCTTTGTAGCTATAATCAAATTATTCCCCTTAATTTCTCTGAGAAAGGCTGGAGGAGGACTATAATAATCATGTTTTACGTGAAAAAAGGTACCACAATATAAAAATGAAGACTGCTGAAATTATGTAGTAAATCACAAAATGGTGTAAGTTCAGCTTTCCTAGTCTAGGAGATTATATGCAAACTTTTTCTATTGTCTTACTGTATACTAAAAATATTTGTGTGAAATTGTGCTTTGAGAAAGAAATACCACTTTTGCAACTTTTACATTAAAAATATTTAAAATGTTTAACCTTTTTATTACAATTTATAAAATATTAAAATTAATATTGTACTAACCTTGTGCTGGCCTATTGGAGATCTTTGTCTGTTTATATACTTCTGAGGCATAGAGGACTGAGAATGAATTCGGAATTGGGAATGATGGAAATGGGTAGGAAGGAAATGACATTGCACTCAGAGCATCAGTGAATGACCAGGTTGAAGTTGTGCTAGCAAAGTTCAGAGCTGCCTCTTCCTAATTCTCAGCTTTTAAAATTATAGTTCTTGATATTAAATTTGCTTGTATATTTAGTAAAAAGTTACACATGCATTTTTAATGTAAAAGTAACATGCAAATGTTAAAGAGAACTTACCTAAACTTCTTAAGATATAGATTTATAGGCTTATGTTTTTATTAGACACTGACTTGATCCATTTCTGTTCCCCCATTGCCACCAGTCAGCATCATTTCACGTGCTGGTATCCATGTACTCATCCATTGAGATTCGTTGATTCCATGTTTAAGCAGATTAAGTGTAGATAATATCCTGCCATCTGTGGAACTTGTGATAGGTAGCCGGGTCTAACGTGTTATTGTTGAGTAAGTAGGTAGACTTGAGTGAGTTAAATAATTGTAATATCATGACTGATTTGACATGGCACATCTCTTTCATAGAAGTGAAGTTCATATTTATTTCTAAACAATTGGTTATATCATTACTAAATTACTAGTTTTCTCAGAAAATCTTTTCAGCCTGGTTTTGAGTAACAGTATGTCTCATACTAAGCTAATGCCTTTTCAAGGACATTAAGAATGCTGAGCTTGCTCTGTTCGAACTGAGCCGAGTAATTACCTTGGAACCAGATCGTCCAGAGGTATTTGAGCAGCGAGCAGAAGTGAGTGTGGTTTTCTTTTTCCCTCTGTCGTTATTGGGTTAGTCAAATCTCAATTTTTTTCCTATTATTTTATTACTTGTAAATTTTAATGCTCCCTTAAAACTCTTATGTTTTTCTATGTAGGTACTTAATGCCTTTAAACATGGTTGAAATTACTAGAAAACTATAGACTGAGTGATACTCCTGAACTAACATAGAAGAGTAATATTTAGTATGAAAATAGTGGTTATGACGTGTAGTACTTCTATAGATATTCACTGAAAAATATAACACATAATATTTACTGTCTATGTGACATACTTTAGCAAGACTGGGTGTTTGGTGAAACTGGAATTCACAGCCCTTGGAAGCGTTCATTCTGCTGATGTGTATGTGTGTAAGCACCTAAATGTAATTCCTATGAGATAGACCTAGCTGCATAGATACATAGGTCAAATATGTGTGCAAACAACTTAAATATAATTCCTATGAGATAGACCTAGCTGCACAGATACATAGATCAAGTGAGGATGATTGCAGCCACATCTTAAAGGAACTTGAAGTTCTTGAGACAGAGAGATAATGTGGTGAAGATGCCGTGTAATACTGGCTCAAGTAGACAGAGGAGGCACTTCTTTAGGAAGAGAAGGGGAATGTCGGGAGTGTTTGCTGAGGCCATAGGAGGAAGTGAAGCTAGGGCTGATCCAATCCCATGGTATGGTGGGGACACGATGGAGGAGAGTGTACAGCGCAGGGACGAGACTCTGTACAAAGGCATTCTGTTTAATGTTTTTAAGTGAAATGTGTTTATTTTACATTTTTAAAATAATAAGCGATCTAGGCTTCATATGTGTTAATGTATTTAGTCTGAATAAAACAACTTTTAATTATCTGATATGATCTCATAGTTGAACTAAAGAAAAAATTACTTTTATTTTCTCTTTTGAAAGAGAAAACTAGTTAAGGAAGTGCTAAGGGTGTGGGAATTTAAAAACTATATTTACGATATTTTTGTTCTCAAGATTATTGTGTCTTACAGTTCAGTCTCTTAAACTGAATTTTATGTTTTGTTGGGGATTTGGCTTTTTGAATAAAATCTTTCTCAGTGAATGATTTAATTTCTTACCTCTTACCTCTTATCTATTTTGAATTGTAACCCTAAGGGTTGACTATAGTTTATCCCCGCATGAGACTTGCTGGTATTTAGTTGGTGTTTAGTGGCTAATTTGGTGACAGATTTGGTAATCAGTTGCTTCTGGGAGAGGGGACTGATGCTTTTTCCTCTCTGTTACTCTGGTTTATGTTAAAATCTGGTAAATCATGAATTAAATTAAGTATACTTAGGTAAGAATTATATAAAAGGACTTTAAAATTTGCATATCTAATAAAAAGCTAATTGTTTATCCAAAATGTCATTGGTAATTAGAAAAATAATTTTTAATTGTCTTAAAAATGTCTAATAATATTTTCATTTTCTGGCATTATTGGGCAATAATGTTACTACATACTGAATTTTCCAGCTAAATTATAACATACTATTCATTTATATATGTCAGAAGTCGTTTTATGAGAAATCTTTCACTTTCATGCTTTCTGAAATACTCTATATTTGATGAACATAAGTTAACTTTTTAAAGTTACTAATTATTATGCATATTGATTGTTGTGCTGGGGTATGATGATTCAATTAGACACCTAGGGGTTGATAACCCAGGGAGGGATGATTTTCCTTCCCAAATACAACCCCAGCCCACTGTGCTTTTTGAATTCTCAGACATATATTCAATTTCTTTCCTCTTTCTGAGCTGTCATGCATACTATTAGTGATAGGCCTGCCTGAATCCTCTCTTTTGCTGGTTTTATAGTTCTGTAGAGTAGGAAATCAATAAAATTTGGTAGAAATAACCTGTATAATAAGGACAGAATAGGTTGGGCATGATGGCTTAAAGCTGTAATCCCAAAGTTTTGGGAGGCTAACACAGGAGGATTCCTTGAGGCCAGGAGTTCAACACCAGCCTGGTCAATGTAGTGAGACCCCCTACCTCTGCAGAAAAATTTAAAAAATAAATTAGCAGGGTATGATTGCATAACCCTGTAGCCCAAACTACTAAAGAGGCTGAGGTAGGAGGATTGCATGAGCCCAGGAGTTCGAGGTTTCAGTGAGCTATGGTTGTGCCACAACATTCCAGCTTGGGTGACAGAGTGAGACCCTGTCTCTAAAACAACAACAAAATAATCCCTAATTTAAGGACATTTATTCAGGATAAAGTGCTTGGGCTTGATTGCATGAGTACTGATACCCATTTTGGATTTTCTTACGTCTTTTTGGTTTACGTTTGCATTCTGAACTGTCTTCTGTATTTTCACGTTGCCTGAATACAACTGATTGCTGGCTCAAAAGAGCTTTTCCAAACAGGCTTGCAGATATTCTTCCTCCTTCTCTGTAGATCATGACTCATGAGTTAAAAGTTGTTACACAAAAGGGTTTAAAGAGCGTCTGGAATCTTAGAAGTTGTCATTCAGCTCTTCTTACATAGAGAACAGAGCTAAAGACCATAGAGGACTTTAATCTGTGTCCAATAATTTGTCTATTTTAATGGTTCAAAGTTATCTTTCAGGTTAATTTTGACGTCTTTGTGTATATATGCCAAATTTTGATTTAACAGATGAAGTCAAGAAAAAAAAAATCATATTACAAGAAAAGCAACATGTGGTATAACCCAGAATGTGAAATAGTGACAAGGCAGTTGCTGCAGTCATAGTTCATCAGCCTCCTGCTTGACTGGACAAAGATTAGTGGCACCTCAGCTGGTTGACTTTGAACCCCATTGCATAGTATATGGGGTCAAGGATTGTGGCCTGCTGAGAGTAATTTTGTGAGTGGAGTACGGTGAAGTGGAATTGAAGAGTCAAAAACATTGGGATTTCAGGGTTGATCACTGGTATTTTTCCTGATTACATGTTTGGGATTTCTAGATCCTGTCCCCTCTGGGACGAATTAATGAAGCAGTGAATGACCTCACTAAAGCTATTCAGCTGCAGCCCTCAGCACGGCTGTACAGACATCGGGGAACCCTGTACTTCATATCAGAGGTGACTTATTTTTGTCTTGAAGTATTTCTTTTTGTGATGATGAAGATTTGATTTTTCCCTGGACCCCAGAAAGCGACTCTTTGATGGATTTGGGCTTTGGCCGTTTAGTAATATGTCTGTGTCCTAAGAGTTATAAAAGCATTTTCTCTGGCTGAAATTAACATTAAGTAGAGAACATTAAGTACTAAAAACACATTTTCTTGTTTGAGCTGTCAGCAATAACTAATTCTGGACTGGCATTTAAAAAAAGAAAGAGAAAGAGAAATTTAGCTTGTGGATTGTATGTCTTTCTTGCAAATGCCATCCTAGGCAAGCAGGTGTGCATGTTGTCAATGTGATTATTAAACTTAGAGGTACAATTTGAATTTCTTTGGGTTTCACAACCCAAGAACCATACCCTGAACTAGCATGGCTTTCCAGACTGCCGCTTCTCTTTGTAAGTGACCCAAGCCTCACAAGATTGTCTTTTATCATCAGAGTGGCTTTAGTATATGGGATTAAGGATTGCAGCCTGCTGCGAGTAATTTTGTGAGTAGAGTATGGTTTCTTTAAAGTACAATAAGCCACACAATTGTTTCTGTGGCTTATCATACTTTAAATAACAAATTTCTGTGCAAAAGAAAATATATATATTGGCCGGGTACGGTGGCTCACGCCTGTAATCCCAGCACTTTGGGAGGCTGAGGCGGGTGGATCACGAGGTCAAGAGATCGAGACCATCCTGGTCAAAATGGTGAAACCCCGTCTCTACTAAAAATACAAAAAATTAGCTGGGCATGGTGGCACGTGCCTGTAATCCCAGCTACTCAGGAGGCTGAGGCAGGAGAATTGCCTGAACCCAGGAGGCGGAGGTTGCGGTGAGCCGAGATCGCGCCATTGCACTCCAGCCTGGGTAACAAGAGTGAAACTCTGACTCAAAAAAAAAAAAAAAAAAAGAAAATATATTAGAAGAGTCTCAGCATAACACATTTTAATGTTAATCTGTGGCATAATTATTTTGGAAATATCTAGTGTGATAAAATGCTAGTCCCAGAAGTTTCTCTAACAGATTATTTCTTCAACAGTATTTGAGATAAATTTTTTTGCAGTTGAGATAGAGTGCTTAAACTAAACCTTTGTGAGTTTTTCTCACAATTGCTTTTCTTAAAAAACTCCAACTATTTGAATGAGTAGTATAAGCATTTAACTAATATATATTGTGATGAAATGTTTCCTTTAAAGCCAAAAAGGGCAGAGGATGAATTGAGATTTTTTTCTCTACCAGTCAAAAATTAGGAAATGTTCACATATCTAATGAATACTATTTTATTTTTTCCTCCACTCTCCTTCTTGTAGGACTATGCAACAGCCCATGAAGACTTTCAGCAGTCCTTAGAACTGAACAAAAACCAGCCTATAGCTATGCTATACAAAGGTTTAACTTTCTTTCACAGAGGACTTCTGAAGGTGAAAGTGTTGTGCATATGTGTACCATATGATGACTCTGCTTCTCTTTTATGGGTGGGAGGAATTTCATTTGACTGATGGCTGGTCTGATGTAGAAGGTAGTCTGAATCAGCATGTTTATTATTTTTTATTGAACTCCTACTATTTGCTGGGTTCCTGGAGGGAGAAACAGAAAGGGAAAGGATCAAAGGTTAATAAGTGGGAGAAATGATACTTTACCTTTATAGAGGATACAGTTTGCAAACCTTTTTCCACATATAATTTATCATATGGTAAACATACTCAGGAACCTAATATAAACAAAGTACTTTGAAAATGTAGATAAGAAAGATTCATTGGGACTGCAGAGTTAGAGAAAGTTCCAGAGAACAGGTGAATTTGTCCTGGACCTGGAAGGCTGAGTAGGATTAGGTGTTGGAGGTGGGGGAAGAAAAGCCCTTCAGGCAGAGAGGAAAGCCTAGGTGATAAAACAGGCAGGTGAAAACATGGTCAGTTCACAGAGTGGGAAGTAGTTGGGTATGGCTGCAGGGAGATGAAGCTGGAAGGCTGGTGGAGGGCAGGTCCTTATCCTAGACTACTGGGCTAAGCATTTTGACTTAAATTTACAGGCCAGAAGAGCTATCCATTCTAGATTGACAAAATGCATAGATTCCAGCACTGAGACCAAATCTGTAATTTAGGATGTAGATTCTGATAGCGTGGTGGCTGAGGAGATGAGGTACAGTAGGACTGACCAGGTGATATTGGTTGGGTCTGGGTCAGTGGCCGTGAAACTTGACCCAGCTCTTGAGAGACCACAGGAACAGGTTGGGAGACCCTTCTGAGACTGACCGTATTAGTATCGCCTGATGACCGCATGACTGTTGGGCAGAGGAGGTAGAGGGAAACAGGAAAGCTATCTGAACTGACTGATAGTATGGGCAGAAACCTTCAGCCTGGCCCTTCTTTCTGCCCCGGCACTCGATTCCATGTTCTGAGTCTGTGTGGGGAACCCACTGTGAGAAGGCTTGTGCCAGGAGCCGGGGGCCTGGAACCTGACGGGCAGCTGCCTCTCTCACCTGGGCCTGCTCTGTGCCTCCCAAGGCCAGGCACCACAGTAGGTGCTCTCACACAGGACACATCCAAGCTATCTGATGGAAGACAGATGGGCCTGAGAGCAAAATACAGTCAGCCTGCACAGCCAAAAAGCAGTTCGTTCTGATAGGAGCCCCAGAAGGTGGTACTTAACAAGAACTTTGAAGGCTGTGAAGAAATTGAGTAGTGTGTGGCAGGGATGTGTATTCTGACAGAAAGAACAGACATTTTATTACTGAAAGTGGTTCGAGGATCTGACATACATATATTTGGGTTGTGGGGAGAATGTTTACCTGTGAAAAGGCCTCACATTTCAATCCCTTAGTGTTAAGGACAGTGCCTGTCACATAGTAGGTGCTCAATACGTATTAGTGGAAAAATGAATTTCAAGGACAGAGCATTGAAGTTGGTGTTTAAAGGCCTTGGTTTGAACTCTTGCTCCAAGCTCCATGAACAGTCAGTTTCTCCTTCCATGTCTATGAAGCGGAAACAATTCTACTTTCTGCCTCTCGAGTGATCATGAGGATTCAATAAAATACTTTATGTGAAAAGTACTTTGTAAACTGTACACAGGAATCCAGTATTAATTATTATAGATTATTTTATCTGTGAAAATTTAAAGTTTTACAGTTTTCTAAAAGAAAAGTCCCCCGTCCCACTAAAAACCAAACCAAAAGGAATTTTGCAGATTCTATTTCATAAACCTCACATTCCTTTTGGAAGTATGTGGAGGATACCCCTAATAAAGACCTCTCTCTCCCCTCAGGATTCAGACTGGCAGCTGTAGGCTTTGAGAGCAATTTCTTAAAACATGCTTTGAGCAGCTGACAGATGGACTTCTCCGGTTTATTTTGTATCTGCCCTCCGTTCTTCTCGTCATCTCTGACAGTCACCTTAAATTTAAAAAAATTCCAAACCTCAGCACTCTACTCGAATTATATCTCTAGGATATCTCACGGAGGAGGAAAAGATTAGAAATACAAAAAATGTCAACCTATTTGTATTAAGAGGTTGAAAATATTTCTAAAAGTAAACAAATGCAAACAAATGATTTCGCTTTTAACATTGTTACTGTAAAGCCAGGTTTAGGAACATGGACAGGGCTCTTTGTGGTATTTGAAAATGAAAATTTTTGAGAAAAGAGAAAGTAGGAAGTGCACAAGAACTGCAATTCAGTTTGATTTCCTTTTGATCTGCATGATAAGAACCTAGAAACAGTGCTTTCATTTTGAGCATTAGAAGCCCCTCAGCAAACTAGTCTTACCAAATTATTTGGCCTTCTGTCCTTTTCACCATGCTCAGCATCAGCAAGTATAATAGATGGAAACTCTTTCTTGGCATTTTTACAGATCCTCTGTCTTAGGAGGTTAAAGTGGTTACTTAATTGTCTCATTCATCCAGCGGTGTCCCCATGAGGTATAGAAGTGGAGGGTATCCCTGTTATACAGATTGGAAAACTGAGTTGGTAGTGAAGTGGCTGAATTAATAAATGAACTTTGTCCAGATTTTCCTATTTCTCTTGTTAACCATAGAGACAAGTATTAAATGGACCAATGAGTTTGAGCTATCTTTGTATCCTGAAGGTGGTCTCTCTTGGCCAATAGCAATTTAGAAATTAATTAAGTGGGTGATTGCTTATTTACTTTATGATGTAATACGTTAGAAGTATATTAGGCAATGTTACATTACAAATTTCACAACTATCCACTTCAGGGGTTATAGCAGGCATTTTGTATCTTCCTAGGGAAACAACAACAAAAACTTTTCTGTTGAATCCCATCGTTTTATCTATGTTGTAAGGGATATTTCACAAACCATGTATCCTGAGCACCTGTTTTTACCAGCCTTCACTTTGAGAGTTACCTGAGAGTGTTCTCTTAGTTATAAGGAACAGCCCTAGGGTGGTGGTTGTCCGTCCACTAGTAAGAAAGATGGGGACTGAAAGTGGTGGGATGGCATTTGCCAAGCAAATTTATTCAGAGCCAGTCCATATGCTTAGAGATTGATTCATTCAAACGCAGTTTCTTTGTTCCCAACGCCTTAAAATCTTGATTCTACTATGTCCCCTCTTTGGCAGAATGAGGTAGAAAGCTGTGCAGTGATTAGACAGGAACCCCGAAACCAAAGACTCTTAAAAGCTGAAGAGAAATCAGACTTTGAAGAACTGTGGCGTCCAAGCATGCTGTAAGTGGAGTGGGCAGCCCCCTGGGCGTCTCCACCTAGCTGTCCACAAGCACTCCAGCCTTAACACGCCCGATGGGCTCGTTATCCCCTCCCACCCCACCCTACCCCCACCTGCAGCCGCCCTTTCTCCTCTATTTCCTTACTTGGTTAATGCTCTTGCCACCCACCCAGGCTGTTCAGCTTAAAAGCTTCCTACCCTTTCTTATCCCTCATCTCCCTCCCATACCCAGGCAGCCACCAAACTCTGTTGTAGTTTGCCTTTCAAAATGTCTCCTGAGGGGCCCTTCTTGTCTCTCCTCAGAGACACTTTCTCAGTTTGAGCTTTCATTATCTCTTGCTCCAACTACTGCAGCGGCTCCCTAATTGGGCTCCCTGTCTCCATTCTCTTCCCTCCCTAGTTTGTCTTTGTTGCTGCTTGTTGTAATCATCTCTAAAAAGTACATTTCCTGAGGTCATGCACCTATGTGAAGCCCCTTAGTCCTCACTGCCTGCACAGCGTGGCCCGGGAGGCCCTTCTTTTCCTGGCCCAGCTTCCCACATTAGCCTGGTCTCCTATCTTTTCCCTCTCCTGCACCCACCCATGCACCCTGCACTCCTGCCTCACTGAATTTCCTGTTTCTATGATCTGTGCCACTGTACAGTACTATTTGCCCTCTGCAAAGTGCCCTCTTTCTTTACCAAATTCCTTTTCATTCTCCAAGACCCAACTCAGTTGTCACTTCCTCCCTGAAGCCTGTTCTGTTACCCCAGGCTCAGTTAGTGGTTTCTTTCTCTTCATTCCCAGAGACTTACATCTCTATTGTAGCTCTTAATTTGTATTCCAGTAACCTGGTGACACAATTGGCTTTCTAACTAGACTCCATTCTTAGAGGACAGAGATAATGACTGGCTCATCCTTGTCTCCCTGTACCTCACGCTGTCTCTGGCACATAGTAGGCACTCAATGCATGTTTACTGAATTAAGAATGTAGTGGTAAAATCTTAAAAGATCAAGGTTACACCATGGCCAGAAGCCTAACTAAAAGTGATCTTTAACATTTCTGAAATGTTAAAGTTTATCCATTCTCATCTCTCTACCGAACAGTAGATATTCAGCAGGAGTCCTTAATTGGTAGATTGTTGTCCCATTGTTACCTTTGAAGAGTTTGCACACCAGCCTCTCTTGTCCTGCTGTCTCCCTTCCAGAGAAAATCAGGGTGCAGGGAATGAATACCTTTTTGAAAAGAGTTAGGATCGTACTGCTTTTACAAAACAATTTTGTGTGCCTTCCCAAATCATTAAATATTTATTGAGTGCCTACCATGTGCAGGGTATGTGACATCTTCAGTAGTTTTCTTCTGTGAATTATCTAATCAGGTGTAAAATTATCTAAAGTCAAGTCTTTTGCATTAAAGCTGTGAGAGATCATGAATGCTTTATAGCAGGTAACTTTAGTAAGATACGTATTTTCTTTAGGAAAAGCATTAGTAAGCTATGTCTTTATACTTTTTTTATTACATTGTATAAGTCACAGTGAAAAGTACATTTAATGCTGGCTTAAGCCTAGGTGGTTTCTACTTAAATATAATCATACATTTTATTAGTAGTTTTCCTAGATGGAGAGGGAGTTAGGCGGTAGCCAAGTACACCATGCATTTCCAAGGATAGCTTCCCAAAGCACAGTGCCTGTGTAGCAGTTCTCACTTCCTTAGCCAGAGACTTGGTGTTAGGCTGACAGAAGCTAACCCCAAATACCTCCAGCTTAAGGTTTTTGTTATATTTTGTTTTACTTTTTCCTCTTTCCGTGTAGATCATGGGAATCCTTCAGATGGCGAATCTAGGAGCCTTTTTGCTTGTTTTAGAAACAGTTTCACACTGGGGTTTCTTTTTTGTCTCTCATTGGTTCAATTTTAAATGTTGCTAGTTATGATCACTTTGAATACTTCACATAGCAGTTAGGCTTACTTTTTGTCCTAGGGCCTTTATTAATTAAGGACAAGATATTAATAATATGAAGGTGAAATGATTAGTATTCAAAGTTTTAATGAAATAGCAAGTAATAAAGTAGATAAAATGGAAAGCCAATTTCTCATTGTAAAGGGGAGAAATTTAAGGCTCTTATTTTTCATAGTACTGCATTTGTTTACTGAAAGTAAATCCTTCTGACTTATAGTTTATTGCATTTTCTGCCTCTCTTCTTTAAAAGTCCTCCTATTTAAAATAAAATCTGTCAGAGACTATGTAGCATATATATTTAAATCCTTTTATGATTTGAGTGAAACTCAATTTTAACAGTTATGCAAATGAAATAATTTTCTGTACACTTTTTACAGGAAGCTATTGAATCCTTCAAAGAAGCTTTGAAGCAGAAAGTTGATTTTATTGATGCATATAAAAGTCTAGGACAGGCCTATAGGTGAGTAAAATAATAATAGTTGGGGTAGGAGGGAGGGTGAAGAGTGGGGAGACAAAATAGCTTCACATAATATTTTAAAAGAAATAGTATTTCTTAACCAAAGGAGATGGATATTTTGAGTTGCGCAAGTATGTATAGACTTGTTGATATTTTCTCTGAAACGTAGAAAAAACTATATCAGAGGATGTCATGATGCACAGTATTCTCTCTTAACCTCAGTGTGTGTATTGGTCTAGAAAATGTTCATCCTTCAAGGGTTGTTGTTTTCAGTGGTGGCATTATAAGCTATTGAGGTATAGATGCTGCTGCTGCTACTTTCTTGATAGTAACTAAGGTACATTTCCTATGATCTCTTTGAAGAGTCCTAGAATGAAAGGATGGAAAAGTTTATGTACGTCTGTTGAGAATGAGAAGCTGTAACTAGAACTTGGCTTCCTGACCGCATGCATTGACCTGAATAGACCTGTTGTAACTTTTGGGTTTAAAAAAAAAAAAAAAAAAAGCAAGCCAGGCCTGGTGGCTCACACCTGTAATCCCAACAGTTTAGGACGATGAGACAGGTGGATCACTTGAGGTCAGATGTTCAAGACTAGGTTGGCCAACATGGTGAAACCCCGTCTCTACTAAAAATACAAAAATTAGCCCACCATGGTGGTGGGTGCCTGTAATCCCAGCTACTCGGGAGACTGAGGCAGGAGAATTGGTTAAACCTGGGAGGCAGAGGTTGCAGTGAGTCAAGATCGAACCTCTACACTTCAGCTTGGGTGACAGAGTGAGACTCCATCTCAAAAAAAAAAAATTATACTCTGTTATGAAAAGGAGGTAAGATGGCATGAGTGAAGGAGCTTATGACTTAGTTCTGCCTTGGTCATTTTGCGGGTGTGAGTGCTTAACTTCCCTGAGCTTCTAGCTTCTCACTTGTAAAGGTGCTACAAAAGCTAGAAAAGAAAGATAGCGACAGAAAGTCCCTTTGTTAGGTACCTTATTCAGGAAGGATTAAATTCAAGAGCTTATTTGTCGGATAGTTTGAGAAGCTCTTATACTGAGTTGGAAAAAGTGTGTTTGGATTTTTTTGGGGTTTCAGGGATGATATTCGTGCTTCCTGTCTCACCGAATTATTGAACAGAAATTTAAAACAGATTGGAAAGCACCTTGTAAAGTGCTGCATGAATATAAGCAGAAATTATATTTTTTAAAATATTCATCATTTATAGAGAATTGATGTATAGAACATTTTGAGGTTACTTATATTCTTTGTAATATATAAAAGAATGATCAGCCAGGCGCCATGGCATGTGCCTGTGGTCCCAGCTTCTCAGAAGGTGAAGTGGGAGCATCGCCTGAGCCCAGAAGGCTGATTTCAGCCTGAGCAATGCAGTGAGACCTGGTTTCTAAACAAATTTAAAAAGCAAATAAAAAGCAGACTGATCCATAACAACCATTTCCATTCTGGAATGGTTACAATTCTAAAATACACTTCTTTTTTTTAGAATTCTAAATTACATAATGATTTACTAGATTTTAAGTGAAGTACCTTCGATGACAAAAAAAAGGTGCATTTTTAAGTCTATGAATTTGACTGAGAATGTTGAAACCATGTATGATAATAATTGGCATACTTCTTTCCAAAAAGGAAAACTATGTTTTTATCCGTATACTAAAATTTACACACGTTTTTTTAAGGTTTGGAACTCATGATGAATAATCAGGGAGAGGGGTTTGAATAAGCATTTGCCTTTGGAAATCAGGAGATGAATTTTCCTCACAGAATTTCAAGAGCTCTGTGGTTATCCTATAAGCTGCTAGGATTTAGAAGTAAGCGGAATGTAATGTGTCAGAGGCTATAAAAAAGTAGCAAAAGGAACACCCCCAGCAAGGTATCTTGTTTACCTATTGGTCCATAATTCCAAGGATAGCTTATTCTGTGTGTTTCCTGTAATGTTTATACTGTGTTCGTAATAAATACCTAGAGAACTGGGCAATTTTGAAGCAGCCACGGAGAGCTTTCAAAAGGCATTGTTGCTCAACCAAAATCATGTGCAAACCCTCCAGCTCCGGGGAATGATGCTCTACCACCACGGCAGCTTACAGGAAGCCCTTAAGAACTTTAAGGTAAGCATCCATAAATAAGAACACTGTAATTGGAGTTCTTGAATTATTCTTCAGTGACGTTTAGTGAAATGAACAGAGAAGGGGGACTGAGAATAATGTTTATACTCCAACAAAAAGAAAAAGAAGAAATCATTGCCCAAACCAGCCCTGTAGACTAGTTTACAGGTCTGATTTACCTGGAGGGAAAACTAATTCCAGAGTAAAGAATAAAGCATTTCAAAGTTTTTCTAAACTGTGTTAATATTAATGCAGCATTTTGTCCTCAGCGGTGTCTGCAGCTAGAGCCGTATAATGAAGTGTGCCAGTATATGAAAGGCCTCAGCCATGTTGCCATGGGACAGTTTTATGAAGGGATAAAAGCACAAACAAAAGTTATGCTGAATGACCCTCTCCCAGGCCAGAAGGCTAGCCCTGAATATCTTAAAGTGAAGTATCTCCGAGGTAAGTCAGAAAATCACAGAATTGTTGGATTTTCATGCTCACAGCTGTAGAAATCATATTGCTTTACTCTTTTATGTTCCATATGAAAGAGGGGAGTCTGAAAGAGGCTATATGACTTGTCCGCAACCACACCTTGTCAGTGCTCGTGCAGAGACTAGATGTTTATGTCTTCGAGAGACCAGTCGAATGCGTTTTCTACCAGTTTTAAAATTTTTACTTTCTAAAGTTAAAAATTTTTTATTTAAGTCAAAAAACCATATTTTGAACTAAATGTGACAAAAGCATCTGGAGTATTTGTGTCTAATCACATCTCATCCAAGAATACAGAAAGGGCAGGAAGCTGACATTTTGTGAGGTTCTTACTGTTAAATGTGAACTTGGTATCTTTGACTTGTCATTCCTTTATGTCAAAATTCTCATATATTTTGGAGAAATATGAGGTGAGGAAGAAAGCAAGTCTTGCAGCTACCCTTTTATTAGTTGTAGTTTTACTTACCCATCTCCTGTCTCTGAAGACATTTTGTTTTTTATTTATTAAAGCCCACATTTTCCTTTGTTATTGTAAGCCCTTTATACTGTGACCGTCCAAAAGAAAAAAAAATGTGAAAAGCTGTGTATGTAATTTTAAATTTGTAGTAGCCACATTAAAAAACGAAAAACAAAGAAGTGAAATTTTAATAATATATAATTTTAAATTCAGTATAACCAAAATATCAGTTCAATATATAATATAATTAATATGAAAGTGCTATTCATTAGCTACTTTACATTATTTTTTGTACTAAGTCTTTGAAATCTGGTATATATTTTATGTTACAGTACATCTCAATTTGGATGTTAAATTTTCATTAGAAATACTTGATCTGAATTTAGAATTTATATTTAGAGTTGAAAAAGTAGGTTCATGTGTGCAAGTTGTTCCAAACATACTGAAGTTTTCTAATGATTGAATCAAGTATCAGTTTGTAAGTTTAAATTAATTCAAATTAAATAAAATTTAAAACTCAGTTTTAATCTCCCTAACCTCATTACGTATCCAATAGCTAGGTGGCTAGGGGCTACCTATTAGACAGCATCTTTCTTTACCCTAAATTACAATTTCCTTTTTCCCTGGTTCAGTAGAACTTGGACTTGCGAATTATAGACAGAAGGGGCAGGTACTCTGTACTTTGGGTTTTTCCTGCACTGCTTCCATAGAGTCGGCAGCAGTCCATCAGTCGGTTGGTGAAATCATATGCTCAATTAATCCGTATACCAGTTGACAGAGTACCAGGCTCTATCTGATGCTGATCTTGGATTCTCAAGCTCTGGAATTGAAAACAATGAGATTTTTGGTGATTTTCCTGGAAAGGTGATTAAAAGTTAGCCAAAGTAGACCCAGACTGACTGATTTACATTTGACCTTGTTATCTCAAGTCAGTGGCAGGTTACCTGTATCATATACTAATCATGAATTACTAAAATTTAGAAGTTCCTTTTAGAATTATTATAATTGAATAACAGCTTGTTACAAAATATTTATATGGCAGCTAGCCATAAGAAAGTTTCTTTAGCAGTATTTAGATGTATCGGATCTTATTTTCTTTCTGCAGAATATTCTCGATATCTTCATGCACACCTTGATACCCCACTTACGGAATATAACATTGATGTGGATCTGCCTGGAAGCTTTAAGGACCATTGGGCTAAAAATCTGCCTTTCCTCATAGAAGACTATGAAGAGCAGCCAGGGTTGCAACCCCACATAAAGTAAGTGCTTTAATTGAATATGATTTTTTTTTAATCTCTCAAAGCTGAGCTATAAGCTGGGCATGGTGGCACACCACTCCCTGCTACTTGGGAGGGTGAGATCGGAGAATTGCCTGAGCCTAGGAGTTCAATCAAGCATGCTAACCTTGAGCCTGTGAATAAGCATCCATTCATTGCACCGCAACAACATAGCAAAGACCCCATCTCTAAAACCAAAACAAAACAAAAAACACCTATAGCAAACATCATTTTAACTAATGAAGTGTTAGATACATTACCATTACCATTTGGAGTCAAACAAAAAAACCCAGAATCATTGCTTCTCTGTAACAGTAAACTAGAAGTCCTAGACAGTGCACAGAGAGAAGAAAAAGAAATCAGTGATATGGATTAGAAAGGAAAATAGAAAGCTATCATTGTTGGCAGATCACATAATTTTCTACAAAGGAAATGATGAGAGTTTAGCAAGGTCATTATTTATAATCAATATACAAGAATCAGTTGCATTTCTATATACAAATAACAAAAATATCATTTATAATAGTAACAAATACTTAGAAATAAATCTTGCAAAATATGTATAAAACCTGCATGGAGGTAACAAAACTTAATTATAAACTTACAAAGTTACTGAGATAAAACAAATGAATGGTGAGAAATACTATGCTTATGGATTGGAAGTTCGATGATAATAGGCCATTTCTCTGCAAATTAATTATAGATTTAATAAAATGCCATTCAATATCCTAAGTTTTTTTGAGGAACTCGTTGAGCGAATTCTGTGAATTCTGTGGAATTCAGGTTTGAAGGGGAAGGTTCCCATCCTACCAAATAGCAAAACTTAATATAGTAATGAACAGAATGGTATTGGTGCAGGGATAGACAAGTGGACTAAAGGAAGAGAATAGGTAGCTTAGATAATTGTAAAGCTGTGTTATAGATCAGGGTGGGACTGGTCAAGATGTGGGGATGGGCCAATTAGCTTATTTTATGGATAAAATAAATTTGACATTTGTAATGGCATAGTAATCCAATTCCAAATGGATGAAAATCTGAAATATGAATGGCAAAATATTTTAAACTTTGGGCAGAATTATAAATGAAAATGTTTATGACTTTGGGGTATAGAAGGATTTCATAAGAAGCACAAAGCATAGATCTGAAACAAAAAGATTGATAAATTGGACTACATTGAACCCAAGAACTTCTGCTCAACAAATGACACCATAAGAAAAGAAAAATAAGCCCAAATTGGGTGAAGATACTTGCAAACTTACAAAACTGACCAAATTATGTAATTTGACCATTCAGAAGAATGGATAAATGTGATACAGTCACACAATGGGATATTATACAGTATAAACAAATGACCCAGGCAACAATGTAGGTTAGTGTCCAAATTTATGAAGTATCACTACAAATTAAAAAGTCAGAGCCAACCAATAGAAAAGTTTGCAAAAGATATGAACAGATAATTTTACCATGGGGAAAACATGAATGACAACCATGAAGAGATACTTCAGTTCATAAATTAAAACCTCATGAGATTTTTTTCAGCCACGAGATCAGCAAATATAGCAAAGTCTGATATTAGTAATATTGGTCAGAAGGGAGATTATGGAGAACTTGTATACTCCTGGTGAGAGTATAAGTGGCTACAACCACTTTGGAAAGCAGTTTGTCATTATCTAGTAAAGTTGGATATTGTAATACTTAATATGAGATTTTGTTCTGTGTCTATTCAGATAACTTTGTACTTGTGCACATATCTATAAGGAGAGACTTATACAAGTCTGCTAGCAGTATTTGTTCACAACTAACACTGGAAATCAACCCAAATGTCCATCAACAGAAGAATGGATAAATGTGATACAGTCACACAATGGAATATTATACAGCAGTATAAACAAATTACCCAGGCAACAATGTGAATTAATTTTAAAATGTAATGTTGAATAAAAGCAGCAAGTCAGTAGGCTGTGCTGTCACGTCATTTTTTTCTCCCAAAGCTCATAAGCAAAACTGTAGAGTATATTGTTTAGGGATATTTATATGTAACAAACCTATTTTTTAAAAAGGTAAGGGAATCAGGAGCACAAATTCCAAGATAAGTATTCACTGACTGGGACACAGAAGGATGGGATAGGAAAGCAGCAGGGAAGTAGATACAACTGCATTTAATTGCTCTAGTTTTTTTTTTTTTTTTTTTTTTTTTTTTTTTTTTTTTTTTTTTTTTTTTTAGATAGAGTCTTGTACTGTCACTCAGGCTGGAGTGCAGTGGTACAATCTCGGCTCACTGCAACCTCCACCTCCCAGGTTGAAGCGGTTCTCCTGCCTTAGCTTCCTGAGTAGCTGGGATTACAGGCCCCCACCACCACGCCCAACTAATTTTTGTATTTTTAGTAGAGATGGGGTTTCACTGTGTTGGCCAGGCTGGTCTCAAACTCCTGACCTAGTGATCTGCCTAGTAATTTGACTTTGTGTTTTCTGTGTGTCTCAACTATTACATGATCAAAAATAATGAAAAGAAAATTGATTGCTCATAGAGGTTATGTATGCTCTCTAACCATTCCTTTTTTGAGAAATATTTCTATGCACAAAAGAGTTAACATAGCAGATCTGTGACTGCTGTCCTTGGAAAGGACTGCTTGCAAGAGTGACCCTTGGTTGGTATCTGGGAACTTGGATTTCAAGGGGATTCCTACTACTCCCAGAACTAATAGGAGTGGTTCCCTTTGCCTAAACTGTTTGTTCAAACAGTGTGGTTTCTGTTGAACACTTGCTTTCCTTCTAGGTATCTGGAATTTGGGAACTTATGGGCAGAAGGTACCTAGAGCCAGACGTCAGTAGAATCTGGGCACTGAGTCTCTCATGAGCTTTTGTGATTGGCAGCATTTTACACATGTGTTCACAACTAATTGCCGGGAAAATTGAATGTGTCATATACGACTTCCTTGGGAGAGGACCCTTGGAAGTTTGTGCCATGCTTCCTCCAGACTTCTCCCAATGTGCCTCTTCCCTCTGCTGGTTTTGTTTTGTCTCCTTCTGCTGTAATAAATCACAAATGGAGACAAAACAAAAAATGATACTCACTGTTGTATCATTATGTGCCAAGTCCACAGAGCCCTCCCAGCCAATTTCTGAGCGTGAGTGAGGATGGTCTTGGAGATCCCCAGAACAACCTATAATTTAGAGTATCATTCTTTGTTATAAAAACATCAAGCCGGTTGGCAGCTAAACAATAGTCTTTCCATGTGTCATTCCAAGTATACTTGTTCCAATACAACTTGGGCAGGGGTGAGGAATGGAAAAAGGGCAGAGGTTTGGTTGCTTGTTGAAAAGGGCAGTCCATTCAGGTATGTATTCTGGAGAAGTTTAGAAAGCAAATAATGGAAAGCGGTGTCTTCAGAATGGTGCACTAGTTATTATAGTTACCACTGTTACTAACCAGCATGTGATAGCAGTTACACACATGCTGTCCCAAAAATTCCCTTTTAAATTAGGGTATGGTTGAGCGCAAAGCACTGAAGTAAGGATTATGTGGTTGTAGACTGCTTCATTAGTTTTCCAGTGGAGGAAGTGACTGCTCTTCAGGTGGAATTGGATTACCAAATGTCTGTTGTAAAAGTCCTTATCAGGTATACGATGTTTCTTTCAGAGATGTGTTACATCAGAATTTTGAGAGTTATAAGCCTGAAGTACAGGAGCTGATTTGTGTGGCTGATCGTTTGGGATCCCTGATGCAATATGAAACACCTGGTTTCCTGCCAAACAAGAGAATACACAGAGGTATTCTGGAAACTATCTGAAAATGAAAATATTCCTAGCATAAGAGAAAGGGTGGTTAAGCCGTGTTGTGCTTTTTAAAAAATTAGTATTTATTGTGGTTATTCAAATCTCCATGTGATCAAAGCAGAAATGTATAGAATCATTGAAAGTGAATTCTGAGAGAAGACTACTTCCATCCTTGGCTTCTTTGCTATTGCCGTAGTATAGACTAGAGTATAGGCCTTAAGTCCTTATTCAAAATCAGACAGCTGATCCAGGGAGCTATTTCCTTACCATAGGAGTGAGGAAAAATGCAAACCTCCACTTGCATCAGTAGGAGGCAGAGTTGGGAGCAGACAACTTGAGTTATCTCTAGTTCCCTCTGACGGGTTTTAATTTTATTAGGACCGTCATGACTGAAACATGCCTTGGGTCTTGTTACAGCACCAACACGTCTGACCCTTTATGTGTTAACTCTTGAGTTATCACCGAGACTGTGTAAAGTAGGTGGAACTCAGTCCCTCTAAAGTGTACTAACTGTCTTCTCGATACTCATTTCTCATAGCTATGGGTTTGGCCGCATTGGAGGTCATGCAAGCCGTGCAACGTACATGGACCAACTCGAAAGTTCGAATGAATGGAAAGACACGGTTGATGCAGTGGAGAGACATGTTTGACATTGCAGTTAAATGGAGAAGGTATCTATAGCCTTGCGGTGAAAATAAACTATAAGTCTTATCATTGTTAAATAAGGTCAGTCTGTTTTAGCTAACAAGCTATAAACCCTGTTTTGTTTGCTAACACCAGGCCTTCTAAGTTAGGTTTTTCTCTCTAAAGTTTGTCATAAATTGCTGGCATCTTTATTCTTTGACATATACTTAACTAATATTTTTAAAACAGGAGTTGATTGTTGTTAAATTTCCAATCACCTGTTTAAATGAAGCATTTTAGAAACGGTCTCTTTTACCTGTGGTACCTTTGAATGAACTTTGCTGGACCAGTCCCTTTATAGTTAATGATGTGCCTGGCAACTAGCTAGTTTAGAGGAACCTTTGATATTCATTTGCATGAGAAAAAAATATGCTCTGTTCCTAAACCTTTACCTTTACCTGGCTTCTCGCCTGGTCTAGCTGGAATTTATAGGTTTGGACATCTTATTTTTAGATATAATGGATTAGCTGTTGCTTTATCTCCACCTTTGCAAACACCTCTGCATGTTTTATTTGGAATGCTTCTGAACACTTCTAGGTTTCATAAAGGTCTCTGTGTTATAGGATTGCTGACCCGGACCAGCCAGTGCTGTGGTTAGATCAAATGCCAGCACGAAGTCTTAGCAGAGGTTTTAACAACCACATCAATTTAATCAGGTCTGAATCTTTTGTGCATCTCTCTTGTTTTCCTAGGAGTTTATTCTCAAGACACAGGGCTTGGAGACTAGGAGTGACCCATTGCTTCTTTCCTGGTGACATTTTGACCGGGAAACATACTGATTGACTCTGCACCTGCGGAGTCCTGCCTGCGTTCCTTTCCTCTCTCCCAGCTGCAGAAAGAAACGTAGCACATGCCATGCTCCTTCCCTAGGCCCTTCTGTCTGGTGTAGAGCACAACTGAAGGGTAGAGTGAAGATGTTTTCCTAGGGTATCAGTCTTCAACGACTCCTAAAACATCATAGAAGATAATTAGATTGAGAACATTACATTTACCATAATATTATGTTAATAGTACATAGCTCAAATAAATTATTTGACACATCTCTCGTGGTGGAAGAAAGGCTCCCTGTCCCACCCCAACACACAAAGGGCTTGGATAAATAACACTACTTAGTAACTAAGCTGCCATCTGGGGTTGGCCGTAAAACTTATGTTTTGTCCAGAGGCTCTGCTAGCTGGGGACACAGGTGAAATGCTCACCTTTTTACCCTTTCTGTATGTGCCTAGCTGCCTTCTAAATAAATGATGAACAAATATTAAAGAATATCAGTTTCAAGGGAACCTATATTATCAGCCCGTCTTTTAATGAATTTAATTTTAGATAAAATTTATAAATACGGTAGTTGTGTCACTTCTAAAATGCTTCTAGTTCCAGGAAGCTGAATTAAGAAACTATCATTCTATACCCCTTTGACATTTAAGTTTGGGTTTTAATTGAAATATAATTTATATGTACATTTATTTTTTTTAATTTCTAGAAAACAAATTTATTTTCACCTTATGACTAGTATGTTCTTATTTCTCATGGAATAATTTGTGGCATAGATAGGTAGACTCAAGCAACTGAGTTTAATTGAAGGTTGCTGTGGATCAGCCAGTGTGCTGTGCTGTGTGATGGGGTTACAGAATGGAGATACAGCTCCACCTGCAGAAAGCTCACAGCACACAGACCAGCAGATAACTACCACGCAGTGTGTTAGGAGTGAGGTGATCACATGCACAGGATGCCATGAGAACCTGGAGAAGGGGTGCCTGATTCAGCCTTCTGGTGCTACCAGAGCTATTTGGAAAAATGGAAATCAGAGAGAGGTGAGGAGATTAACATGGACCCATGGATGAGTTAGGCATGGTCAGGAAACTGTGACTAACTCATTATGCCTGGTGGTGAGTTTGTAATTAAGAGAGTATCAGGAATTGAGGCTAGAAAGATAGGCAGAAGTCAGAACATAAATAATTTTATAGTCTAAGCTAAGGACTTTTTTCCCCCTAAAGACAATGGTGAGCCATTCAGGGATTACAAGCAGAGAAGTAACAGGAACAGATTTGCACATTGGGACTATCACTATGGCAGCAGATGGTAAAATAGATTGCAGAGGAGGTAGGAACCTTGGAGGCAAGGGAGGAGGTTGGAAAATTGTGTAGTTTTTCAGGTGAACAAGTGCAGAGATCTCGAAAGCTGTGTGGTAGTGAGTTGGAGAGGGAGAGCTAGACTCTCAGAAGGTAGAATCAGGAGCATTGGTGGTGAGCCGCAGTGGGAGAGGGCGTGGAGTTAGAGGAAGGCCACCTTCCCTCTCAGGTACAAGGTTGTCCCATTAGGCCAGAGAGCACCAGAACGAAAAGTAGGTGGATGTGTTTAGTGGAGAGGCTGGGAGAAGTGTGGGGTGCAGGAGAGAATTATTATTTGACAGTTAACTTTGAGGTTTGGCGTGCCCGATGGGAACCCAGGGAGTGATGTCCCAGGAGCAGTCGGCTGTGTCATGTGACTCAGCATGTTGGCTGAACACGGAATTCTGGGAGAGAGTTTAAAAGAAAAAGATCCAAAGGGACGAAATATGAGGAAAATAATATTCAGAGTGGGTAGAGGAAAGGAGATTGTTAGTGAGCTAGAGAGCAAGACAGGGTGTTAGATAATGCTGTTGGGAGAACTGAGGGCAGGGAGACAGCATACTGCCCACAAGTGATGGGGTCCATCTGAGGACGTTGATATGGAAGTCTGAACCTCACTTCAGTGCTGGGGATTTTTCTTCCCATTGTGGCTTATCTGGCTCCGAGTTTGATGGCCTCTCTGGCCAGGGTAGGCCCTGTGAGCTGGCAGGCAGTCAAGACGGTGCTTTACTTCTCCATTCATTGACTATAAGCAAGCAAATTTCCTGGAATTTTTTTCTACATTATTCTCGTAGCTTCTTATTTTTTTTTAATTAACTTTGAAATTAGATGTTCGTTTGAGCATATTCTTCCGTAAAAATATTCTTAATTTTATTATTTTTGCCTTATAGGGGTCAGGTGATCAACATGAGATACCTGGAATATTTTGAGAAAATACTTCATTTTATTAAAGATAGGATTCTTGTTTATCATGGGTAAGCCTTTAATTTTCTCCTTAGTAATGAGTTGATTTCATGTGTTTTATATTTGTTATATTTTTGAAACTTGAGAACTAAGCCTGTTGACATGCTAAACAAGGTCTGTGACATTTTTCATAGTGTTAGACTCATGGCCGGGCGCGGTGGCTCAAGCCTGTAATCCCAGCACTGTGGGAGGCCGAGGCGGGTGGATCACGAGGCGAAGAGATCGACACCATCCTGGTCAACATGGTGAAACCCCGTCTCTACTAAAAATACAAAAAATTAGCTGGGCATGGTGGCGCGTGCCTGTAATCCCAGCTACTCAGGAGGCTGAGGCA